GCATAATAATTTAGTAGTATAAAATAATATAATATAATTAAAATAGTGATTTCTTCAAAATACTTTCGGGTTCGTAGCTCCATGAAACTTTAATCGTAGCTTCAAATTCATTTTTGCTTGCGTCTACGCGTTCGTATCGTCGAGTACTTTATGAATATGCTAAAAGAATATTTCGTACGTCTCACTACATGTTGGTCAATGAAAGTCAAAACCTTTACCTCTAGGGCATTTTTGTAAATTCACACTTTTAAAATTTATAAAATCATAGAACTAGCGACGGGTTGTCACATTTCTTCTCTGTGCCGCCGACCCTCTTCCCTTGTCAATTAAATATGGGCCACAACATAATGATATTTTTCTTTGCAATATTGGCATAGGTCCAAGATCGAATCATCATTGTTGATAAATAAAAAATTTAAATGATAGTTTAGGCCTCGTTTGTTTAAGGTTGGATTGGATTATAACTCACAATAGTTTAGGTAATGTTGAAAGACTTTTCTTGGGGATCGCAATAACTTGTTAGGATTGCAAAGTTATACCAGAGAAAGCCTGGCTAACCAACATTACATGTTGGTGATGGATGTACATATCAAAGACATAGAAGAAAGAACAATATCTTGAAGTGTCCAAGAACTAGATGGTGGAATCTAAAAGGAGAAAAACAAGTCACTTTCAAACAGAGGTGGATGCATTGAGGGGCAGGGTGGTCAGTTGACCCCCCAAACATCGGTGAATGTCCATAGATAACTTGAGTGCTGACCCCTCGAATTTCGATGTGTCCATGAATAACTTGGATGGTGCCCTTTTGAAGATTGAAGTTGGCTTCATACATGCCCTTCAACTGTAAGAGTGGCTCTTCTTATTATTTGTTTTTAATAAATATTACTTTATCAAAACTACATAGTTTTGGACCCTTAGCTTAATAAAAAAAATAAAAATAAACACCCAGAGCCAAAAAAATAAACACATGGATGATGGATATGTTACTCGAGGAAGATCACAACGTGAAGCTCAAAGAGTCACAAACTTCCATCATTATCATATGGAGCTCTTTGTTGCTATCATTGATAAGCAACTTGTGGAATTAAATAGTTGTTTTGATGAGGTAATTACAAAGTTGCTTCTTTGTTTGGCAAGTTTGAGCCTGAATGATTCATTATTCATTCTCAGCTTTTGATGAACAAAAGTTAATATGTTTTGCACAATTTTATCCGAATGAATTTACTACTTGTCAACTCTTGGCACCTGAAGTTCAACTTGGGCATTACATTCTTGATATGCGTTCAAGTAGTGAATTTTCTCAATTGAAAGGAATTGGTTGCCTTACAAAAAAAATGGTGGACACGGGGAGGAATAGAGTATATAATCATGTATATTTGCTAATTACATTTGCTTTGGTTCTACCAGTTGCTACTGCTTCAGTGGAGAGAGCTTTTTCCGCTATGAATATTGTGAAGACTCCATTTCGTAACTGAATGGGAGATCAATGGTTGAGTGATAGCATGATGGTTTATATGGAGAGCAATGTTTTTTCTTCCATTGACAATGAAGCTATAATGCAACGCTTTTAAAATATGAAAATGCGTCGGGGACTATTGTAACTTGTATTGTTATTTGTTCTATAAGTTATGAATGATGGAACTATAGTTTAATCTTTAAGTTATTATATGTCTAAGAAATGTTTGTAAACTTTTATATATGACCCCCAAAATATTTTTCCTGGATCCGCCACCACTTTCAAAGAGAAATTACCCACCCAATGCATTTGGGATACAAAGGGGAACCTTACCCAAATGTAGGATTCCATGGCTAGCTGTATCTGAAGAGTTGCAAAAGGGGAATTAGTAGAGTCCAAGGATTTTGTCCACATCAAAGGAATCTTGGTGGTCGAAAGAGGAGGTACAAAAAAATTGGTTAAGGCTAAGAAGGAATATTGTAATGCCTATACAAGGAGAGAAAACTATGAAAGATATAAAATAAAGAAGAAGGAGGCGAAGAAAATCGTGAGAGAAACAAAGATAACGGTTTATGAAAATATGTATAAGCGATTAGATACCAAAGAAAGAGAGTTGGATATCTATAAACTAGCTAGAGCGAGCAAAAGGAAGACAAGAGACTTGAACCAAGTAAGGTGCATCAAGGATGAGAATGGAAATGTTTTAGTTAAGGAGAACGCGGTTAAAGATTGATGGAAAGTTTATTTTCATAATCTTTTCAATGACAGACACGAAAGGAGTACTTATTGGGTAATTTGAGTAACTCGAAAGATTGAAAAAATTACTCCTTCTAGCGCCAAATCAAGAAAGAAGAAGCTTGTAGCTTTGAAAAAAGATGAAGCATAGAAAAATAGTGGACCCCAACAATATACAGATCGAAGTGTGGAAAATCTTGGGAGAGACATGTATAACATGGTTCATAAACCTTTTTAAAAATATTTTGAAAACGAAGAAGATGCCAAAATGAGTGGCAAAAAAGCACTTTGGTGCCTATATACAAGAATAAGGTGACATAACTATAGGGGTATTAATTAAGTTAATGAGTCATGCACTGAAGCTTTGGGAGAGAGTAATTAAGCATAGACTGAGGCAAGAGACACAGGTCTTAGACAATTGATTCGGGTTTATGTCAAGGGGCTCAACTATGAAGGCAATCTATCTCTTACGGTGATTGATGGACAATATAGAGATATGCAAAAGGATTTGCACATGGACTTTATAGATTTGAAAAAAGCGTGTGATAGGAACCTAAGAGAAATTCTTTGTAGGACTGCAATAAGAACTTGTGAAGGGCAAATTAAAAGCTTTTCATAGTCATAGGGTTACCAAGACTCATCTTTAAGTCCTTACCTTTTTGTATTGGTAATTGATGAGTTAATTTGTCTTTTTGGATTGAAAAAAATTTATTACTTGCTATATTAAAGGTATACGTTGAAAGACCTTTCTTGTACTTCATATAGGTTGTTACTTGTTGCGACCTTTCTTGTGTTTTTTTTCTCACACACGGGGTTTGAGCTACATGTCTCCCTTCTCCTTTTTTCTCCTTTTTCTAATATAATTCGGTAGGTATTGGTGTTTAGAAGAGGGAGGGAGGGAGGGAGGGAGGGAGGGAGGGAGGGTAGGCTAATGTAGTACTCCGATCACTCGGCCTTGGTATGTAATTCTGGTCACTTAATCCTCTAACTTGATCCTACAACTTGAAGTTAGAAGATGAATTACTCACTAAGAAGCCTTATTCATTATAATTCCCTCCATGTGTTATTTGATTCTAATCCTATCAAAAGGAAAACTCATTCACCTCTATACTCAACATACCTTAAGACTATGTTTAGGTGTCTCAAAGCCAAAGGATTGAGGTTAAGTTAGTAAAGAATGAACTGCAAAATGTTAGAAGGGTTAGAAATGCAATTCGTGAGCATTATAAAGGCATGAGAGGGGGATTTGCAAATCACTAGTTTGAGTGAGGCATTTACGAATCCTTCATACATGCCTTTGCAATTAATGCTCATGGAGTGCATTTTTTAACCCCTTTATCTTACATTTTGTAATTCATTAGTTACTAACTTGACCTCAATCTTTTAGAACTTAGAAATTCTTTGATCAAACATAGCGTAAATATAATGAGTTATCAAGTAGAACGCAATTGTTGACACCTAACAATGCATATGTATAGTAGCTATAATTATCAAGAAAAACGAAACTTCCTTGTCATTTTCTTATCAAGTTTCATAAATAATTAATGGGGATAATTTGATTGCGGTCCCTAATCCTTAACATTTTTTTATTAAAACCTTAATAGTATTCAAAGTTTGATCAAGGTCCCTTAACTTTGTACACCTCATTATATTACTATTAATATTTATATTCTTATAGTTTTGCAATTAATTGTTTGATATTTTATGAGATTTATAATCCTATAAATTTAAAATCCTTCATTATAATACTATTAGAAACGGTTATAATAAAAAAAAAATTCAAACATTTTAATTGAATAAATGGATAAAAACTATGTAAAAATAAGAAATAATAAATGGCAAAAGAATGTATCCATAGTGTTAAAAAAATTGGTACATTTTACAAAAAAATTGGTACATTTCACATATAACAAAGTGGTACATTAATAAAGAAGAATGGGTACATCATAAATAAATTAGGGTACAAATAAAAGATTAAAAATTATGAGTACAAATGAATTTTTAAAAATATAGGTCCTAAAAGAAATTAATAAATGGGTACAAAATAAAACTAAAAAGAAAATACTACAAATTTTAAAAAAAAAAATGTTGCAAATTAAAAGTGGGTACAAACTAAAAATATAAATATATGGTACAAAGTTTAGGCATAAAACATAAATATACCATATGTAATTTTTCTATCATTGATTAAATATACAATGTCACGTGATAGTATACACATGGGTACAAACACAAATAAAACTTTAAAAAATATGGGCACAAAAAGAAACTAATATATGGGTACAAATTAAAAATGAAAAGAAAATTGGTACAAATTAAAAAATATTTGCAAATTAAAAATTGGTACAAGCTAAAAATAAAAATATATGATAAAAAATTTAGCCATAAATATAAATATACTAATTGTAACATTTTTAACACTAAAGGAATATATTTAAAAATAAAAATATTTTATTATTCAAATAATTAATGATGTTATTAATACCAAGGACCTTGATAAAAAATTGAAAATGAATAGGATTTTAATCAATGGAGTAACAAAAAGAATGATGTGAACCTAATTTTCCCTTATATGTGTACATTTGTAAGGTGTTTTTAGCTTAAGTGGATAAAAACATTTACAATTTACACCCGAAATCTATTATATGTTCGATTCTCTCTACCTAAATATCGCTTTTATGTATACAAAAGAATCATATATACATGTATAATTATACGTTAAACTTGTGATAACTATATATGTGTTGCAAATAGAGGAATGTGAAAGTACATTCGTATAAGTTAGTTCAACGGCAAATAGAAAACAAACTGAAAAGAGCAATGAGAAAGGTCAACTATATATGTGTTGCAAATTACATTCCAAAGGAACATGACAAGACATGGTATATAAAAAAAAAAAAAGGATGGGTCATAAGATATATGAGAGCTAGGCACTCTCCATCTTATGGTCCACAGTATTAATCAACCTATTATATTCATTAACTTTCCCACCTGCCTTCCCACCAAAAAGAAAATCAAAATTCCAGCTCGGTCCCTTAATACTCTATTATCTTCACCAATGAAATTCAACTCCCCATCTCTCCGAAAAAGGAAAAAAAAAAAAAAAGTAAAGGAGAACCTCAAGAAACCAAGAGAAATCCACATCTCTGAATAATTCTTCTACAATAGTTCCCATTCTTTCTTTGAAGTAAAAGAATTTGATAACAGAAAATAAATAAAAAACTATAAATATGGAAAATTGTTGAATAAGTCTATGGATGTAGAAGGGGAAAAGAAGTTTGAAGGACTAGGCATGAAGCTACCTTCTATGAAGTTCCTGTTGCCATAGAGCACGGGGCTCAAATCATGAAAGAAGCTATCAGCCGGCGGAGAGAAGAAGTTTGACGGAATTGGAGTAAGTGAAGCGGGCCCTGGTGACAAGATCCCCGGAAACAAACCCTTTTTCACACCACCGTCATCCATTATTTCCATTTCTTCCACAACATCTTGAGCAGTACTGCTTTTCTTCATCCCTTGATCATCATGAGCTGGAGGGTTATTATAGTTATCGTGATTCAGAGGATTAATATTGTTATTACTAGGCGGTGAAGAAGATGTAGTTGAAGAATTTGATCGTCGTAAGCCGGTGAGGCGTTGGACAAGGTCCATGAACTCGCTAGGGTTTGTGTGGATGACCTTCGGGGACACCGTGTAGATTATGACCGGCTGACGTGGCTGCTGGTAGTGATGGGGCTGCTGCTGCTGGTTTGGTTGTTGTGACGGTTGTGGTACAACTGGAGGTTTCTTGATCTTGTGAGAGTCTTTGTGTATCCTGAGAGGCGTTGGACGTGGACCTTGGAGTTGAAGCTCTCTTCTTGGAGATTTTCCTGTTGAATAATCCATGCCGATGAAGATGAAGATCGATGGAATGACACTAAGAACACGAGAGCTGAACTCTTCTGGGTTTTTGGTGATGTTTTCGGAATCTTAAGTAGTACTTATCTATCATGTTATGTATTAATAGTCAGAACTCAAAGGGCAGAGATAGATATAAAGAGGAAGAAATGTGGTGAGATGAAATATTTAAAGGAGAGAGCAAGTCAATGATTTGAAGGGGAATTAATTAAATAATCCAACAATCATGATATTAGTAAAAATTGGCTACTAGCAAATAGCAATAAGCTTAGCTTGTGAAGGTGATATTTTAGGAAGAGAGTGTAGAGGGGATTTTTGCAAAGGCCGGTTTCGTGGTGGGGTGGTGTATGAATTGAATTTGTCCTAATGTGGGACTTGGAAGGGGTCTGTGTGTGCCGCGTCAGACTGAGAGGTAGTGACGTCGTATATGTGCTCATGTAATTAGCTTATACATTCTATAGTGTTGGATGATTAAATAAAACAATTTTCTTTATTCTTGTTATTTTCTTTTAGGAAACCTATTTTTATATTCTTTTTTAGATGATCCGGAAGGAGGAATTCGAATTTGAAATGTATCTTCAAACTTTGAACTATAGAACAAGAAATACTACCATATGAAAAGTTAGTAGAACTTCTACCAAAAAGTGTTGTAAGTAGCAACGCTTTTATTTGAAGCGCTTTAAAAAATTAATAAAAATGCAATTGTGTTTTTGGAAAAGTATTTGAAGTGTGTTGATGCACAAAATCAGTTAGGACTTTGGTATAATAGAAAATGTTAAGTTTGTAACCTTCGCTAGATTGCTCCGGTTACTAATGTGGATAAATATGTAAATGGATAGAGATAGGGAAGCAAACACAAGATGTACGTGGTTCACCCAGATTGGCTACGTCCACGGAGTAGAGGAGTTCTCATTAATTGTGAAGGGTTTACACAAGTACATAGGTTCAAGCTCTTCTTTTGTGAGTACTAGTGAATTATTTAGTACAAATGACATTAGGGATTATTGTAGGAGAATGATCTCCTTTTATAGAAGAGAGTTTCTAGTTTTGTTCTGGCCTTGACACGTGTCATGCTGTGATTGACCTTTGATGTTGATACGTCTTGTCCTATGATTGGCCTCCTGGTTGGAGGGAAACTCTTCTGGGTCCTTGACGGTATAATGTTGATCGGTACTTGGAAGGTTCACAACAACTCAGTGACTTGGATCTTTCAAGTCTCCAACCGAGAAGTTATCCTCACTCAGGAAATTAAGGGAGCACTACCTTAACCTACATGCTTCACTAACAAAGCTTCAACATACAAGCTTCAACAAAAGAAAAAATTCAAAGAACTTAGTGAAGAATGCTTGGTGTATTTAACACAATACGTTGAAATGAAGCAAAGCTTTTTTATTGATATCACCGATAAGTTACAAATATATATATATACATGAATCAAAATAAACAAACAAGAGGGAGCCTTCACAAAGGTTGCTCAAGAGAAATCTCAGCAGTCAGCAGAACCCCAGAAAGAGAAGGCACCGGAAGGTGATTATTCGGAGCCTCAGTATTGAGAAAGCACCAGAGGTTGATCATTTGGAGCTTCCTTACGCGGTACAGCCCCAGAAGACAAAGGCAATAAATGCCTTTGGAACAAACCCACAAACCTCTGATGATCAAGTAAAATCTAACCATCAGATTCCTGCAGCTAGTCAAGCTTCCTCTTCATGTTTGTAGCATAGTCATGTGCGAGCATGTGCAACTGTTTATTCTCATGCTTGAGCCCTCTAATCTCCTATTTGAGACTTATCACTTTAGCTGCCAATGATTCAACTTGGCGGGTTTGAGCAAATAGGCGTTGAGCCATATTAGAACAGAACATGCACACTGAACACTAAGAGCCAGAGAATCCTTAACAACCAACTCATTAGACTGTTTGGAAAGTAGTCTGTTATCTTTGGGAGTGAGAAGGTTCTTGTCCACCATCGCAGCGGTCATATTATTCTTCATCACAAAGTACCTAACGGTAAGAGGACCAGTAGGGGATAAGAAGGATGAGCGCCATATGTTGTCTTGAGAAGGCATGGCTGCCTCTTCACCAAAGTTCAAGTCAAAACGATGGTCAGATGGGCCAGACATTTTTAGAAATGATAAAGGAGAAATGAGGTCCAATAAATTTTTGAAGTACAAAAACAAAGGGAAAATTCCTACAAGCAATAACTCTCTGAACGTACTTCTTGCACACAATTGGTGCCCCTACAAAAGAAATGGCAGCATGACCGTTTGGTCAAAAATCGAAGAGGCACCACTCTCAAGATTTCGAGAAGCAGATTTTCCTGAGTAAAATATGTCGACAATCCTAACACGTAACATCAGCTCCTCGGGTACCACAAATAACTTTGCAAAAGATCTCTGACAAAGTTTAGACACATAAATTTTGAAGGTTCAGCTACCTTACCATTACCCACAAAGATAAAGGAACAACATCACTGCTTGATAACTCGAAAATCCCTATGTGTGTCAACCTCCGTGCTCCGTGGCAAGGCAGACTGGCAAAAATGCCAACCTTTACTCACATTGAGAAAACACTACTAATAGAATTACTTGCTCAAAAATCGAAGAGAAACCGCTCTCTAAATCACGAGAGGACTCCCACTAGGATTGTTTTCTCACAAATCGAAGAGGCACCACTCTCTGAATCTCGATAGCCAAACTCCCACCAGGATTGCTTTCTTAAAAATCGAAGAGGCACCGCTCTCCGAATCTCGAGAGCCAGACTCCCACTAGGATTACTTTCTAAAAAATCGAAGAGGCACCGCTATTCGAATCTCGAAAGCCAGACTCACAACATGATTGCTTTCTCAAAAATCAAAGAGGCACCGCTCTCTAAATCTCGAGAGCCAGATCCCCAATAAGATTGCTTGTTCAAAAATCAAAGAGGCAATGCTCTCCAAATCTTGAGAGCCAGATCCCCAACAAGATTGCTTGTTCGAAAACTGAATAGGCACCGCTCTCCAAAGTTCGAGAGCCAGATTTCCTTGGATAAAATTTGTCTGCAATCTTCACATGCAACATTAACTTTCCAGATACCATAGACCACTTTTTCAAAGTGCTATGACAAAGATAAAACACGTGAATTTTACAGCTCCCACTACATTACTATGACTGAGAAGGATAAAGGAACAGCGTTACTACTTGTTGTTGGGACAATTCCTATATATATCGACCTCCATCATCCACAGCCAGGCAGACCTACAAATAAAAAAAAAAGCTCAACTTTTCTTCACATCCAAGAGGGCACTCTCAGCAGAGTCTCTCGAAATACTCAGCTTCTTTTCCCCCCGATAATACCTCTGCAAACAAGCCACACCAGAGTAAGAGTATTTCATATCATCAGGGTTAAAAGTAAGAGTATCCCATATCATGATTTTTCCCTGTCTTATCCTTTGCCCTTGCTCTTACCTGCAAGACAAGGAGAAAGAAAACAATCAGTCGGAACCTGAAATCAAACTTCTGATCTGGAACTGATTGCTCAGAACCTTTACCGGTTGCTCACCTAGCATTGCTCTCGAGTACTCATCTTCAACTGTTGTCAAGGTCGCGAATTCTTTCGGTAAATACCTCAGAACAGTTGATACAATATTGGCTCTTTACACTGAAGCTGCCAAGCATGGATGAGTCGCTGAGAAGTAGTACTCTGAATGACCATTCAAAGGCAAAGGTTGCTTACTACTTTTGCGGTGCAAAAGATTGAAGCAGAAGGTTCAACGATGAGATGGAACAAATCATTATAGCACGACGCCCTCCTTGCAGAACCGCATAATCCAGACGGAGGAGTCTAAGTCAAATCCAAGCTCAACATCATTGCCCTATCTGAATAGCTCGAGAAGCTTCAATAACATTTCGCTGACACTATCACCAAATAGCACAGCCTCGCCATGCCACATCCACTACTTTGTCAATAGCAAAAGTATCCCATATCATCAAGGTCGAACGTACTTTAGATTTAATGGACTTGTTTTGAACCTCAAATTCTTGAGTCGGCCTTATACCTTGGAGGAAACCAGAAAACCCTCCAGCCCAGTTCAAGAATAAGCCTCTGGAAAGTTACTTCTTCAAAAGTAAAAGTATCTCATATCATCTCTTTTCCTTTTTCTTCTCTTTATCCTTCTTGCTGCCTGCAAGATAAGGAGAATGAGAACAATCAGCCGGAACTCAAAATCAAACTTCTGATCTGGGACTAATTGCTTGGAACTCTGATTGCTTACCTTGTCTGTCATATCTTTCGGCAGATCTCCTAGCTCGGCGACTTGGGGGACTCCTACTACATGGTTTGTATCGTGCTTGACCAAGCCTGAAACTACAAGTAAGCTTCAAGTGAAATTGATACATTACCTTGTGCATCTTCACCAGTTAAAGATACCACCCATGGATGGAGGAAAAGTACTTCCAGAGAAGATGCCACATCTACCTATGAGACAGATAAGGCAAGTGAAAATGATGCCACACTTCGGTACTTAGAAGTTTCGTGATTACTCAACGGCTTGAATCTTTCACAAGGTTATACCGTCAAGGACCCAGAAGAGTTTCCCGCCAACCAGGAGGCCAATCACAGAGCAACACGTGTCGACATCAGAAGCCAATCATAGCACGACACGTGTCAACATCAGAAGCCAATCACAACACGACACATGTCAATGTCAGAACAATGCTAGAAACTCTCTTCTATAAAAGGAGATCATTCTCCCACAATATTTCCTAATGTCATTTGTACTAAATCCTTTACTAGTACTCACAAAAGAAGAACTTGAACCTATGTACTTGTGTAAACCCTTCAAAATTAATGAGAACTCCTCTACTCCGTGGACGTAGCCAATCTGGGTGAACCACGTACATCTTGTGTTTGCTTCCATGTCTCTATCCATTTACATACTTATCCACATTAGTGACCGGAGCAATCTAGCGAAGGTCACAAACTTAACACTTTCTGTTGTACCAAAGTCTTCACTGATTTTGTCCATCAACAAAGTGTTTTTATTTTCTACCAAACATGGCCAACTTCCTTTAGAAAACCTTTTAGTGTTTTTTTGCTTTTGTCAAACATGGTCAAAAACGCTTTTAAAATTTAATAAAAATGCAATTGCTTCTTTGGAAAGTATTTGAAGTGTTTTTATTTTTTGCCAAACATGGCCAGTGATTCTTTTAGAAAACCTTGAAGTGTTTCTTTTGTTTTTGTCAAACATGATCAAAAGCGCTTTATTTAGGGGATTTGAAAGCACTTTTGGTGGCAAATGTTGCTTTACCGCACTAA